CCCCAAAACCCCAAAACCCCAAAACCCCAAAACCCCAGACGATGATAATTATATTGAATTAATTTTAGATTTATATGAACAATATGAGCATTCGCCCCAAGAGAAGAGCTGCACGTCAGCAGAACTACAATGAAGATGATTTGTACCTAGAACAAGTAAGCTTTAGAATGTTTACAATTTATAGGAATTTATCGAGCCCCCACCAGCTAAGCCTCAACAAATGAGTCACCACACCTTTATGGAACCAAAGAGCAGGATTCCTCAGCATAAAGTCCCACAGGTTATATTAAAGAAAGAAATTGTAAAACCCCCAACTGAAGAATTTAGCTTGAAATCTTTTCTCTCTGCTAAAATTCCTTCCAAAAGGGTCAAGACTAGACTTTGTGGCTCTAAGCGGTCAAGCATTGTTGATGCTGAAAGTTACACTAGGATCTTATCCAGTAAGAGAAGAGATACCCAAAATAAAAGGAAGAGAAAAGAAGATCTCAAGAACATTGGGCAGAAACTAGAAAGAGAGAGGCATTTCTCTCAGTACATTTCACCTGATTTTTGTGCTCCAAATTCCAGCCAGTCTCTCCTAGATTCTAGCTTTGCTAGTATGAAATATCAATCACATCCAGACCAAAACTATGAAAGGGCTAATTCTACTAGAGTAGCTAAAGATCCAGTAAATACAGTGAAAAGGACTAGAGAAGAAAATTCTAAAGGTGCTGATGAGACTGAGCTCAAGAGCACAGTAGTCAGTCTCTATGACAGACCCCAGAACAAGAGTCCAGAAAGAAACAGACTCGGAATCGAGCCTGAATTAATAGCTCCAGGGTCACAAAACATTGAATCTCCTGGTTCAATGGAAATTAATGATTCCTCGAATAATTCAAATGATCAAGATGATGAGTGTCTAATTGACCAACTTTGGAAAAAGACAGAGCGTGAATACGAGGAAATGATTGGAGACAGTTTCCAAGACTTTTAAACGAAAATTCTTTCTGAAGATCCTATTGCTAACCTTAATTAATCAAATACAATCTAAGACAACCTCTTTCAATCGATGGGTGGAGTTCTTCTAATAGCCAATGGCTTTTCATGAATAGTAGGGCTTTTACAGCTGGGAAAATTTGAAAAAAAAGCCATCCTAACCATATTTTATGGTGGTTAAACTGTACAAATAAGTATGTTCAGCACAAAATTCTCTGAAAGTGAATTCGCTCTATAACGACCATAGTAGAATTTGTACGAAGACAAATTCTTTGAAAAATTAGTCGGTTTTTGATCACCTTTAGACTAATTGTGAAATTTTGCAAAAATTTCAGGTACTGGTCTTGCTTGATATAAACACTAATACCTGACCAAAGGAGTATTTGAGAATTTATACCTAGATACTTCCAGAAGGCCATGGACAGGATATTTTTCAAGCACTTGTTTTAAGAGCCTATTCAGGCTTCTCAGTGAAGAATTCACTGCTCAAATTGTCTTGAAAAGGTTAATTCCAAACAATAAAAAATAACAATTTTGGATCAACTCAAAGTGACGAGACAGACAATCAAAAAGTATGAAAGATTGGGTTTCACTCAATCATCCATTTATTCTAAATTGTTATATGTGTCGCTGAGACCTATTTGGGGTTTTGGGGTTTTGGGGTTTTGGGGTTTTGGGGTTTTGGGGTTT